CATGACAATCTGAGTTGATTTCCTCAACCCCATAGTGGGAGGAGAGAACAGATTCTCGCAAGTTGCATGCATGCATGTGTACACAGAGAGACAGACAGACAGTCAGACTGAATAAAATAAAGAGTCTTACAAATTGTGAGAACATAGGAGACATTGGATATGCCAGCTGAGAAAAAGGACAAGCCAAGGATGGGTCTGGAAGTGCAGAGGGAGCCAGGCAAGGGGCACTCAGATGAGGAGGGTGACAGGTGTTGGGCGACGGGGCAAAGTCTGGCTGTGAGGCAGGTCTACAGGGCTTTGGGACAAAGGAGTACAGATGGGCTCTGCCAGGAAAACATCAGGGAGATGAAGAAGGGGCCAAGCAGGACCTTCCACAAAAGATGGAAAGAGGGCAGAGGACAAGCGGACCGAAGAGGGGGAAGGAGAGCCCGGGCACAGTAGGCCAGAGGGACGACCCAGGGCCAGAATGCTGAGCACAGCCAGAGACACCTCAGGAGATTGCCCTTGACTGAGGAAGCATGGGCAATGACATCATGAGCAAAAGACCAAGAGGAGGTGTGGAGGGCACAGCTGACAAGCCCATTCCCCTCCAAGAGCTTCGACGTTTCCTCACAGTTCCTACTTTGCTTGTAGGAGAAGCCTTCCCTGAATCCTCTATCAGCCCAATTATCCCCTCACTCTCTATCTCACTTTACATTTCACTGTGAGCATTCCTGGTGTTCTAGACATGTCTGCCTTGTGATGACAGAAACCCTGTTCCCCTGTCACCACCTGCCATCTATAGTGGGCAGAAGAGCTGGCCCTGGGGCACAACAACAGGAGAGCTGGTCCTGCCCCTCACCCACTGCAGCACACGGGAAATCAGGCCCTGCACCTTGCCTGGAGAGCACACTAGAGCTGACCCTGTTAGTGGTGGCACAGGTGAGCCGGTCCTGTGTACATAAGAGCAGGAGAATGGCACCTGCCACCTCAAGTGGCACATGCCTCCTCCCTAGTATGCCATGTGGTGGCATGGGTGGGGGAAATACGTCCTCCACCCCCGCCCCCTTGTCAGCTTCAGCAGGTGGGAGAGCCAGCCCCAGGAGCATGAGAACCAAAGAGCCGGCCCTGTCCCTTACCAACTGCAGCAATTGGGAGAGCGGGCCATATACCTTGTCTGGGCACAACAGTAGAGCTGGCCCTGGTAGTGGGAGTGTGGAAAGGTAGGGAACTGGCCCTGCTCCCTGCTGCCTGCTGCTTTGGGTGAGCTAGCTGAGGCAGTGCTGAGAGTTCGCCCTGGCAGTGATGATGAGGGAAAGCTGGTGGGCCGACCAACCCAGCTACCACCAGGCCCAGCATCAGGCCTATGAGTTAGCCCATCCCATCATCCACCTCATCTATGTACTGCTAGAATACTGTGAAGGGACGGATTTGCAGATCAAAAGCTCCAGGATCTCGATGACACATAACAACAACAGGATATCCATGAGGAGTCCCAGTGAGGGCCCATTGATTGTGTAGCAGAAGTCAGAGGCCTCGAGCCAGACCAATGATCCATTGCAAAGAACACTTACAAGTAAAGACCTTTGGACTAAGGGGTATACTGTGTGGCTCACTGGGCCACACCACTGCCTCCATGCCGAAATTTTCTTTTCCTTTTTTTTTTTTAGGCTATACTTTCATTTCGTTTTTTATGGGGGGGGTTACAAGGGCAGAGGGCAGAGGTGAGGGGACAAGGAGATGAGTGAGATTGGGATGCATGATGTAAAATCCACAAAGAATCAATTAAAAGGTTTTTTTTTTTTTAATTTAGAAAGAAAGAGAAAAGAAAAAGAAAAAGAAAGCCCATATTGTGTCACCTCTATAACTGTGGTACTGAGATCAAGGCCCGGCATATATTTGAAAACTTGGTCCCCAGTTGGTAGAACTGTCTGGGAAGGATTAGGATGTGTGGCCTAGTTGGAGGAGGTATGTCACTCAGGGCAGGCTTTAAGGTTTCAAAAGCCTACACCATTCTCAGTTAGCTCTCTTGGCCTGGTGGTTGTATCCCAAGATATAAATTCTCAGGTACTGCTCCAGTGCATTTCCTGCTAGCATGCTCCCTGCCACAACAGTTATGGACTCTACCCCTCTAAAACCATAAGCCCCAAATTAAGCACGTCGTTTTATAAGTTGTTTGGTCATGGTGTTTTATCACAGCAAGAGAAAAGTAATGAAGTCAGTATCTATCCCATGTCACCCAGTTCTCTGGAAATAACAAATAATTAATGAGCACATGACATACTCCAAGCCTGATTGTGCTAGCTGCTGGGGACCTGGTGAGAAAACAAATCGGGACCTGCCTTTGCAGCTTGATGCTGGAGATGAGCAGACACTGACATGAGCACGAACAGAAAAATCGTGACATCTCACCACAGAGCTAGCGCTGGAATTCCACTCTCATGCCTTCTGTGGCGGTCTCTCTCCAAACCCAGCACCGCCACCTTCTCCAACTGAAGGATGATCTTCCTGGGATGTTATTAAGTGCTTGAGGTTTGACTGTCACCTCTTTCAGATTTTTAAACATATCTTACTCTGTTTTTTCAAGACAGGGTTCCTCTGTGTAATAGCCCTGGCTGTCCTGGAACTCACTTTGTAGACCAGGCTAGTCTCAAACTCACAGAGATCTGCCTGCCTCTGCCTCCCGAGTGCTGGGATCAAAGGTGTGTGCCACCACACCCGGCTCATTTCTCACCCTTTTAACAGGCTCCTAAAAAGTAGGAATACCTACCCTATGCTCTCAATGGTTAATCCGACTCCATCTATTTCTACATAAGTGGGAGAAGAAATCCCAGACTTAGTTAAGAGAAAGCAAACAGCACATGTCAAGGGTCATGCAGAAGTGGGTCCCAATCCCTTGTTACTTTGGACAGGCTATTCAACTTCTCCGTGACTGGGTTTCCTTGTTGCTGAAACCAGAATACTGACTCTCCCAGCAGAGCTCATGCAAAGTTGGAATGAAAAGATGCACATGGAGGGCTTAGGACTGCTCTTGATACAGGGTGAGGGGTCAGTCAATGGTGGCTCAATCGGTACACCCACTGCTTCTGTTGGTCTCGACCTGCTACCTTCATCCAAACCAAGTCAAAACGTGCTTAGAATTCCAACCACAGAGCATATGTCAAGATGCACAGAACACAAACTGGTCAGTGGCCTGAGGAATAACCTCAAATCCCACACACTTGTCCAGACTCCCACAGTAATTCTGTTTAATTTTAGTTACTCTATTTTCTCCTCCATTTTATGCGAATACAACCATTTCCCTCAGATCACAGCAAGAGTCCAAACCCAGGCTGGATTCCGCAGTGCAAGTTGTGGCAGAGTTAGGAATGCCACACCTCAAAGCTAGCCTAAGAACACAATCGGAAGCCCAATGTACACACAAGCGCCAACACACTCAGCTCCGAGAAAGGCAAGGAGGACCGGTCACAACATGCTTGGCCTGCCTCGGAGCTACAGGATAGGCTCTTCTGGCATACAAGTACCCTTTTGCCTGGCCTCTGGGTGCCTCTCACCTCCTTCCTTCCACCCCAAGTTATGCATGTTTACCAAAGCTCAGCCCTCCACTTATTCAAAACTACCGTGTGCAGCTCGAGAGATGGCTCAGCTGTTAAGGGCTAAGGCTCACAACCAAAACTGTGATGTCCATTCTACATCTCCAGACGTAACTGTCTCAGTTCAGGCTTCAGTTCTGGATCACCACCGGCAAACTGGACATTTCCTATGGATGAGCCAATGCCACCTTAATTCAATATTTCTGAAAACAGTGTCAGACGAGCAGATGAAGTTCAGTGGCTGAAGACCTGTCTAACTTGCATGAAGGCCTGGGTTCAGTCCTCAGCATGGCAGTCAATCCATCAATACCAACGTCAACTATCTCTTCCCAGCCCCAGTGCCTGTATTTCTGTTGATGATACTGTTATGAAACACCAAATTTCAACTTTCAACTTTGACCCGTCTTTGGAGTCTCAAAGACGGAAAGTCAGATGGGCTCTTCCCTTGCAGTCTCCCATCTCCACACGATAGCATGTGTGCTACCACTATCACCCCCCGTCACTTCTTCCCTCAATAGAACTTGAACAGATTCCCGCTGTCTTGGAAATAAGTCTAAGTGCCTTAGCTGGGCTTGACAAGCAATAGATCACAGGTCAAATCCAGCCTACCCCATTTCTGTAGATAAGGTTTCACTAGAACAAGCCACACCCCCTCATTTACATAGCATCCTGGCTGCTTTCAAGGACCAGCAGAGCTGAGTAGCTCTGACAGAGGCCACTTGCACTGGTCCTTCATTGAACAAGCGTGCCGACCTGGGCTGTCATTGTCAGATGGCAGCAGACCCACCAAACGTTTTGGCCGCGCTGCTTCAAAGCTTTTGTTCCTGCTGGTCTGTGGATGGGCCCACTTTCTTCACACCCTATATTCATATTGCCATGTACAGAAAATCTTATTTCATCCTCGGACTGTTTTCCATCCACCTTTTCTTCTTAGACAATGCCAAAGCACCACTTGTCTGTGAGGTCAGCTGCATCCATCCAAGCCTGTTGGTTCTCCTCCTCTGACCTCTGTCTACACCAGTAGTTCCTAACCTTCCTCATACCGCAATCCTTTAAAATAGTTCCTTACCTTACAGTTACCCTCAACCATAAAATTATTTTCATTGATACTTCATGACTGTAATTTTGCTACTGTTATGAATTGCAATGTAAGTATCTGATATTCAGGATATCTGATATGTAACCCCCGTGAAAGGGTCATTCAGCTTCCCAGGGGGGTCTAGACCCACAGATTGAGGACCATTGGTCTATACCAAACACAAAATCCTAGAGTGAGAATTCACTATCCTTTCTGCTCATGATACAGACTTCTCTGGGGCTCAGGCTTCATAACGTCCACTGGGTACCTGCAATAATAACAAGCTTGTCCTTCATCCCAAACACAACCTCAACTTCATCATTTGGTAAAAAGGCATCAATCAAACTTACCAATGAAGGCCTAGGGTTCCACATTTGAAATCTTAAATTTGGCTCCAAAAGCGTACACTGTAGCCAACACCACCTGAAAGCAAGGAAATACAGGGTTAGCACTAAAAGAGCAGGTTCCACGTTCTCTTCCAAGTGGCACTGTGCATTAAGTTTTGACTAGCCATTCTCCTAGGATGCCAGCTCTGCTTCCCTCTAGAAAATCTCAGCCTACCCTCTAAACTCATTGGCCTAGAGGCCTCCCTGACATCCCAGGTACTGCTTCCTGCCTCAGCTTCCATGAACACTGGTGACATGTCTGTGAAAACACATGACACACTGTATATGGCAGGATTTCTTATTTGGGGGCTGAAGGGTTCTGGACTACAGGTTTTTCTGAGATATTTGTAGAATTCACCCTACTTCTTGAATCTGCTGTCTAGAACACCACAGGCGTTTAGTGGTGTAAATGTGTAAATGGATGAGAAAACAAAATGTCCATCACCACATGCCTGGGTTCTAAACTTCTGCTAGAGCATGGTTTTCACCATAGGAATGCTGCCCCAGTCTCATTCTTTGAACAGGCGATAGTTTTTCAGAAGGATTAATGAGATTAATCTAAAGGCACACCTTGACAATGACACACCCCTAGGCAGAAACCTTCAGAGGCTCCCAGAATCAAAGCCAGGATGTCAGGTCTGTGCCCAACTGGCTCAGGCTCACTTGGCAGCCTGAGCTCACCTGGATTCCCCAGATGGACCCTACCGTCCAGAAAGATAAGACAGACAGTGAGTCCTCAAACACAGAGGCCCCATCATCACCCCTCTAGTTGGGTTATCTTCTTCCACTGTCTGGACCACCTGCTGATACCACCCATTCCAACACTGTAGCCCATACCAGGTTCATAATTCTCCCTCAAGTGTGATTCTTCCTTACACTGTGGCGAAATACATGTAAAAAAAAAAAAAAAAGTTCATAATCTCAACCATTTGGCAATATACAGCTTGGCAGTATTCAGTATGTACATATTGTACAACCACTGTCACCATCCACCTCCAGAACTCTCTTCATTATAGAATGGAAACTATATCTAAGCCCCTGGGACCAGTAAGTCCTAGTAAAGCATGAATGAATGAATGAATGAATGAATGAATGAACGAATGAGTGAATACCCTGCTGAACAGTACCATGCTCCTACAGTCACATCTTTTCCAGATTCATTTCAATCCATCTTAAATCACACACACACACACACACACACACACACACACATACACACTCAAACGCACGCACGCACGCACGCACACACGAACACACTTCCCTTTGGGCAGAAACACAAACCCATCTGTAAGGTAGAACACATGACCGTGACCTGTCCTTCAAGCCACTAGACCCACGGTCAGGTCCTGCTCCCCCACTGAGCTCTCGGCCTCAGTCAACCACCACTTTAGCTCGACACTCTCTCTGCCGTGGCTTGCTCGCTTTCTTGGTTTTCCACTCACTCCACTGGCTCATTCTCTTTGCTTCTTTCTCCTTAGCTTCCCAGGTTTTCTATCAGAGGCCTTGGGGCCTACTTCTCTTCTCTGAGGTCACCTCCTGGTGGTCTATCTAGTCTGATTCAAATATGACCTCCGCACTGGATGCTCACCCAGATTTTTCTCCCAGCCTGGGCCTCTCCTTTGACCAATAGTCATTTGCTGTGGTCAAGGGCACAGGGCTCTATGTAAACCACAGCAGGTATCTCAGGCTCAGCACATCTAACACAAACTCCATCCTTCCCAGACTAGCTCACGGCAATGTGAGCATCTCAGTATAGGCAACTTTTCCAGCTGCCATTCTGAGGCCTCACCTTTCCCTCCATATCCAATCGTCACCCAAACGTGTTTTCACATTCCCATATATTAGCATGGTCATTTCTCCTCACCTCCTCTGCTGTCACCATCCTAGACTGTTACAACAGCTTCCTAATGGGGTCCTCACTTCTACCCTCAGGGCCATTCACACCTCTAGCCATAGCTGATTCTCATTAGAGGAAGAAGTCTGTTACTACATGAGTCATATCAGGTCACTTTGCTTGAATCCTTCAAAGTTTACCCAGCAAGGATGCTGGAGGAACTGGCATTTCTAAACCTAAAGGCCCTGGGCAGGTGACCAGGCAAGCAGGGTCTCCAGGTCAATGCACACTCCCCCCAACCACTATCTATCATCCCTTTTTTGGCCTGGAAGTCCTGATGCTCTCATATTCTGACTTCCTGAAGAAAGGAAACATTTGAAGGGACTAAGAGACTGGAAGTCAGTGTCACCTTCCAGCTTATAGTACCAGTAAGAGGTCAAACAGTCAGTTGGAGCATGAGATACATGGGATCTCCCACTACTTAAGTTAAGGACTTTCAAAAATTGCCTTATTGATGTCCAAAAATCAGGCTCACCTTCCACAGCATGAATATCTAGCCCCCAAGGGGTGAAAACCCTTCTTAACCCTCTCTTTCTTCTTTCAGTCTCCAGCTGGTCACTAAATTTTGTTTACCTTTCTGTCTCCACAAGGGTGTTCCAGAAACTGACACCCCTGACTAGAGGTAAAATTCAAATGCAGTCACTCAGGAGCCATGGGTGTGTGTGTGTGTCCCAGCAGCCCTCCTTGGAGCCTCATAACCATCCCAGCCACCTCTATACACAGATTCCCAGTCACTATATCATACAGGATCTGGTCTGGTTCTAACAAAACCTAAACGAAGAATCCCTGCATTACTGTACCATACAATCTTCCAAACCTGTTAGAGTAAGCCACAAAACACTCACCTCATCTGCCCTGGTGCAGATCCTAAACAGGCTGCTTGCCTGGACAAGGATAGGAACACTTCCCTCCCTGGCCCATCGGTGATTGGTCCAAAAGATAGGCACATCCTCCAAAACAAGCCAATCAAAGCCTTCTTTTAGAACTGATTGCCAGAGGCAGAGAAAGGACACCCCCCACACACAAGTGGTAAACTGAGGCTGCCAGCAGTTGTGCCCTCAGCTTATCTAGAGGTAGCAAGACTGGTGGCCACACAACAGGGGACAGGAACCAGAGGGGTCACTGGCAACATCAGCCCCTACCCCAGAGTTCAGCTTCCCAGGTGACCTCCTACACCCTTTGCCCAATACGGACCCAGTAGATTCCTCTTACACCTGTGCTGGAAGTGGGGTTTGGGGGCCCCTCTTCTTTTCTTCCTTTCCTTATTCGTTAGGTCAAGAACAGTTCCCAGCATGTGGTACTCAACCATTTATTAAGTGAATGAAGCATGCACATTGGCTCCAGGGTAGAAAGACTGGTGAAGCCCAGCTCTGTCATCCCCTAGCTGTGTGATCTGAGGCAAGGTTGTCTAGCCGTGTGTGTGTGTGTGTGTGTGTGTGTGTGTGTGTGTGTGCGCGCGCGCGCGCGCGCGCGCAAGAGCCCAAATGTTTGCAAGTACATGTGTCAACACGTGTTTATGGAAGCCAGAGAACCATCTTTGATGTTGTTCCTCTGGTTCTCTTGCACCTTCTTTTCTGAGACAGGGTCAACCTGCCAAGGGCGCTAAGGTGGCCAGCCCACCCCAAGAAGCTGCCTATCTCCAACTCTGCAGCACTCAGATTAGCATTGTAAACCACCATGACCTACTTTTCCACATGGGATCTGGGGATCTAACTGGGCTCTCAAGCACTTTACCTCCTGAGCCATCTCCCTTGTCCTCCCTATTCTTTCATGATTCAATTTCTCTGCAAAAAGCAGGGAAGCCACAGTACCTACTCACCAGGTATGGTGGTGCACGCCTTTAATCCCAGCACTCCAGAGGCAGAAGCAAGCAGATCTCTGTGAGTTTGAGGCTAGCCTGGTCTACAGAGCGAGTTCCAGGACAGCCAGGGCTACACAGAGAAACCCTGTCTTGAAAAGAAAAAAATGAAAGGAAGGAAGGAAGGAAGGAAGGAAGGAAGGAAGGAAGGAAGGAAGGAGGGAAGGAAAGAAGGAAGGAAGGAATTGATTGAGTATTTACAAGCACAAACTCTCCCAGGAATAATCAGGCAACAGTTAGTGAGACTCAAGAGTTACCCAGAGTTCTCAGTAAACTGCTGACGATCAGGGACCCAAGACAAGTGGTGGCAGAGAAGCATGTGGCGCGTGCAGGAAAGTGCTGCCACAGACAGCACCACCCAGGTGATGAGAAACTCTCTGCGCCTTTTAAGAACCAATTTTCACAGCAAAGCTTAAAGAGGGAGAGAAGCTTCTTACATCATGGGGACAAGGTAATAAGGCTATAAAAAGGGAACCACACAGAACCCACATGGGCCCAATTTTCGAGGAAAAACAGCGATTGCCACAGCACTTGGGGTGGGGGAGGAGTCACACTCAGGTCTCAGCATGAAAACAGCTTTCCCAAGTAATCAGGCTGCAGAAAAGCTCCTGGGTCTGCCAAATGAGCAGGGCTGGCTCTCTTCTGTCCCCCTTGTCCTACTCCCTGCTTTCTACAGATAACACGATGGGACAGTGCAGTCCAGTGGCTGTGCTCCAACAGTGCCCAGCACCGTCAGAAGAGGCCCTGCTGCCCTCCCTAGAGGCCTTCTCACTTCTGTCTGAGCCTCACGGGCAACTCCGCATCATCACCATCTCCGACCCTCCTCTTGCATCCCTGAACCCCTAAGCATATAGCATCTGCTTCTTTTCAGCTCTCATGCCCACTGTTCCCCAATCAGGGCATCTGAGAAGGGAGCTTTTGTGGTTAGCAACACAGAGCCTCGAGGTGTATGGGCGTGGCCACTAGCTGTGTGATCCTGGGTAGTTAACTCATTGCTACAAGTCTTAGCTTACTTGTCTGTAAAATGGAAAGGCAGACATTCGAGACCCTGTGTGGATTATATGAGCCAGTTCATACAGGCTTTAGAATCACACCTAGAAACAGCTGCACCCAAAAAAGAGTTAGCCTAAAGTGCAAGCTGTGAACATTGGGGCACACGCCCAATATTTTGATGGAACCGCAACACAGCTCATATCCTTACAGCCTGTTCTCTCCCTGAGCTTTTACATCTGCTGGAAATGCTTACCCTGCACTTCAGCCCACCCTTTCAAGGTGTTGACAAAAATCAGCCACCTCCACAAACCTTCCTTGACTCCCTTTCTTAAGAGGTGGGTGGGCCGGCATTTTAATCTCTTGAATAAGCATCCTTCAGCCTGTTGTGTGGGTCCATTCCCAGGTCACAAGCTTCTCAGGAACAAGGGGTTCTGGGATCTTTCTCCCCAGTGTTTACTCGTTGCAACCTTACTTAGTATGTAGACTCAGTAAACATTTGCTGGATTAAGATGAATCATAAAGCCTAGAGCCAGGGTCCACAAAAACAGAAATAGCAGAAACGGGAGCAAGGCACTGTGGATGCAGCCTATTTGAGGCCCTGGGTTCCAAGCCCAGTACTGAAAAAAAATTAACAAAGCCAACACCCCAAATCCAGTGTTGACCTAAGGCTCAACCCAGTACCAGGGACCAAGTCGTGGTGTCTATTGGTTTTACCCTAGTCACTTCCTGATGGCCAACAAAAAGCCAAGATCAAAGCCTTTCCTTTCCACACATGTGCAGTGCCCTCCACCACCTGTTCACTCAGGGGTGATCTTTCTTCCCTCTGAAATGATGTTTGCAGCTGGGCATGGTGGTCCACACTTGCAATCCCAGCACTAGGGACACTGATGCAGGAAGATCACAGGTCAACAAGAAAAAAAATTTATTTACTTCCTTGTCTTGGGGCATTTCTTAAAGCACCCTTAAGGGAATCCATGCTTTATTTCATGATTATTTTAATCAAAGCATCAGGTGTAGGGAGACAAAACGTCCTCGGTTTTCATAGGCTGATTGCTCCTTAAGAGGATTTATTGATTCAAGCTCCCCACACAGACAAATAAATTATGGCCACTTTTTGCTTATACCTCCTTTCACATTAGTTACCCGGCTTCTTCACTCATGAAAAATACAACAAAGACTGGCTCCTGCATGAAGTACATTTTTAAAATACATTTTTCACAGCATTCTATTTGAAAAAAAGAAAATCCGATTCTGTCAAATCTTGGGCCATTGCCATTAGCTAGATAAACGCCAACTTAATGAAATGATTCTGTAATACACAAAGATGCTTAATGCAGCATTAGCTGAAAGAATAAAAATTAGAAGCAATCGAAAACCTGCTCCATTACAAGCTCCCAGCTCACGGAAAATATTCTCTGGATAGATAGAATAGTATGCAGCCATCTTTAACAAGCATGGGGGAAAGATTAAAGGAAGATACAATGTTGAAGGGACAGGGGACAGGGTGGTTCCTGCACCTAGGCTGTCCCAGCTGGGGCAGAACAGGTCCATCCTTGAAGTCAAAATCAAGGGAAATGAGAGGAAAGTTGGGAGGAAATCTCAGCACACAGGGCTGGAAAGGCAAAGTCAGTCTGGTGGGTGCTGGTGTGACAGGGGGGAAGACACAGACCACCCTTCACTGGTTGCTCTGGCTATTTGTCCCCAGGTCCTAGATGCTCCTAAACATGAGCCTGTCCTTCCCCAAAGGCACCAGGCCTTGCTGAGCTCCAGTTCCATGGAAAGTGTTCCTCATCCCCCTAGAACGCTCTTCTGTGTGCTTTCCAATTTTGCCAGCTCTACCCCGCCTTGCCCAGTGGATTTGGGCAAGTGGACTAGACTGTTGCAGAGGTTCACTCTCTTGTCTGGGAACAGTGGCATTGCTTCCTAGGCCACAGCGCCAGCCCTGAGCCCACCCCCCTGCTCCGCTCTGGTCTAAGGGCTAGAAAGATGGCTCAACATGTAAGAGTGGTTACTGCTCTTCTAGAGGGCCCAAGTTCAGCTCCCAGCATCCATGGAGGGCAGTGCGCAACTCCCTCTAACTTCAGGTTCAGGGATCTGACCTCCACTTCTAGCGTCTACAAGGGCCTACATGCACACATGCACACACCACATACTGACCCCATAAAGGGAGGTCTGAAAGTATGCTTGGGCTGTAAAGAATGTGAATGGCACATTCCAAATAGGAGCAATGATACCCAGAAGCTAAGCAACACCTGGGTCCCCAAAACTCTTGGCCACATTCTCACAGTGACTAAGATGGGCCCCAGAACTCCAGGGCCCCAGGTAGGAGACAGGAAGCAAAAAGCCTGCAAATTGAAGACGCAGACCCAACTCCCCCATCCTGCTGAATACAGCTGAACCCCAAAGTCATCCTAAGAACTAGAAGGAACTGTGAATGTAAAGCTACAACAAACCCTAACACATCTGGGCTAGTAAAGTTTTAAGGAGAAAAAAGTCTATTTTTCAATGGATTGTTCTTCCCCTAGATCTTCTGTAGGCCTCTTTTCTACATACACAGTGATTATAGATGCCCTTTTACTGGAAGATAAGGATAACAAACACGAATGGTAACAAGCTCCCTCACCACCAAGAAAATCAACTGTTTAGTAGCAGAGACTTCCAGCCCAGCAGGGGATCAAAACATCCCTGCATGAACGACTTAGAAGTTACAGTAGGTGGGTAGGAGGGGGTGAGAAAGCTTAGAGTCAACTGATTCCTCCAACCTCTTTAAGAGATTAAATAACTGAGCTGGAAAGATGGCTCAGCGGTTAAGAGCACTGGCTGCTATTCTAGAGGATCGGGGTTCAATTCCCACCACCCACATGGCAGCTCACAACTGTCTGTAACTCCAGATACAGGGTTTCTGACACCCTCACACAGACAAATATGCAGGCAAAAACATCAATACACATGAAATAAAAATAAATCTGAGAGAGAGAGAGAGAGAGAGAGAGAGAGAGAGAGAGAGAGAGAAATAGTTTAAATTTTTCCTCACTGCATCAAACAGGGATGAGACAAGTTTCCAAGGCTATTTACTCTTTGGCTATTAAAGAAGCATCACTAGGTTTATGGAAAGAAGACTTGTCTCTCCATAAAGCTAAGGGTCCAATGGCTTTCTAAGAAAAGCAAATCCAAAGAGTGGGACCAGGGACCATGCCTCAAGATTTGACAGGAAGGTCTAGAAGACTTCATGAAGATGCTCTGGGCAATCACAGACCTTGGCCTGCCATCAAGCTTTTTTGAGTCACCTGAAGCTCTGTACACAGTGATGCCCAAAAGATCTCTGAGCACTAGTGGCCAGAATTTCAGAAAGGACAATAAAGGTAGTAATTTCTCAGTCTGTTTGAGGGCTAAATCTGAGCTATCAGGAAAGGGATTGGGGACAATGAGGAGGTACAGGGGAGGAGTTCATTAAAAAAACAGTCCCCTGAAGGCACCAGCCAATATCCTAGCTGAGCCTCCTTAGATGCTGAAAATAACCAGAGAGAAAACACAAGGCTGCCTCACACAAAGCTGCTGCATGCACGAATCTGGACTCTTAGATCAAGACTGGGGCTTACTGATCTTCAGAAAAGCTAGCTGCTTACCAGGGGCAGCTCAGAGATAGTCACCTGGAATAGCTAAGCTAGCTTATGCCTTCAACTTGTGATTCTCCACCTGCAGGCCTGGCCTGGCTCAGGCTGTCAAGCACTCAGTCCTCCTGAGAGGTAGCTTGATCTCATGCCTCCACACCAGTGATTCTCAGCCTGTGGGTCGCAACCCCTCCGGTGGTCATATGACCCTTTCACAGGGATTGTATATCAGACATTCTGCAAATCAGATATTTACATTATGATTCATAACAGTAGCAAAGTTATTGTTATTAAGTAGCAACAAAAATAATTTTATGGTTGGGGGTCACCACAACATGAGGAACTGTATTAAAGGGTTGTGGCATTAGGAAGGTTGAGAACCACAGTTCTACACCAACAAGGAGAGCTGGGAGGCGCAGACCTTGGAATTAAGAGTCCTGCGTTCCCATCCAAACTCTGGTCCTCCAGTGCCACTATTAACAGACACTTTGTACCTCCTCTGGGGCCGGTCTCATAGCCTGTAATCATCTTCTTCACTGAGCTACTGGTTAGCTTCCTCTCTCTCCTAAAAGCTCCTCTCAGCTGAGACTAGGTCAGTGGTTCATCCCTGTACCCTGGCCACTACTTGGAACAGAGACTGCCATACTACAGGATCTCAATAGATGAACGACAGCTTGGAAATTGACTTCAGACACCAGTCAGACACCTTCAAGAGCCACATCTAAGCTTGCCATGCCACGTACAGGCCAAGCCCCAGAGAGATGGGCAGCCCAATGTCCTCTCCAGTCAGTGCCTATAGCATGAATCTTAGATGGTCTTATTAATAAAAACAAAACTGAGGTCAGTTATTGGGGTGCATGCTGGAAGATCAGAGAGACAGAACAAGTCACAGCTACCTCACCTAACCAGATCCTCAGCTGGTCCTGTTTCCTCAGACTGGAAGCCTCTGAGTCTTCATCCAGAATGAATCTCAACTGAACTGCTGCTAGAAGCCTGAAAGCTTAACCAGCCAAAATGCTTCTAGTTTCTGGTCCTCACGCCTTATATACCTTTCTGCTTTCTGCCATCACTCTCTGGGATTAAAGGCTCACTTTCTGGGATTAAAGGCGTAAGTCACCATGCCTGGCTGTTTCCAATGTGGCCTTGAACTCACAGAGATCCAGAGGGATTTCTACCTCTGGAATGCTAGGATTAAAGGTGTGAGTGCCACCATTTTCTAGCCTTTGTATCTAGTGGCTGTTCTGTCTCTGACCCCAGATAAGTTTATTAGGGTGCACAATATTTTGGGGAACACAATACCACCACAAGTGCCTACAAGTGTCCCCTATCCCAGGACTGCTCAGGCCACTTCTCTGAGCAACAACAAAGTGGGAAGGGAAACTGTGGGGAGGGAGGACCACAATGAGTTCTCTTCAGAAGCCACCATCAGAAAGTCAAAGCTGAGCATGAATAGAAAGACCATGTAGAGAAAGGACCTGGAAGAGCCAGGGGCACCTGGGCCCCAGTGCAGGAGTCAGGGTGCTGTGGTACAGAAGAAAGAGTTGCACAACATAGAGAGACCCTGCCTCTAAATAAATATATATAAATATATATATATATATGTGTATATATATATATATACATATATATAAATGAGGGAGGGAAGGAGGGAGGGAGGAAGGAAGGAAGGAAGGAAGGAAGGCAGACTAACCCAAGGAACAGGGACTGTGCAGAACTCATTTCTTTAAGTCAACTGCAATAAAGCCTGGCCAAATCCCAGGAGTGTGGCTGGACATCCTTCCTTATGCATTAGAAGCCCTGATTCTCAGCTATTATGCAGGAGAGACGTCTGTCACCATACACGTTCCCATTGCCTCAGTCAGGAAGGAGTCTGGATCAGGCTGGGAGCACTTGAGAGTTCATAAGCCAGGACAGGTGCCAAAACCAAAAAAAATCTTAGGCTTGCAAGTATGAACCTACTTATTTATAGGGCTAATTTCCCCTGCCCGTTGATGATGAAAGCAATACATGCAGAGTTGAACCAAGAAAACCACACAGAAAAAAAATAGGAATAAAAACCATCTCTGATCTCACAAGGTGAGAAGCACTGTTAATATTCTGGTGCCTTTTCCTCTTTTTATTAATGAAAATTTGAAAGAGATGGAAGCATACTGTGATGAAATTTCAATAACGTATTTTCTTGCAGCAAAACCCATCTATGATCACTCCATACTCTTCCCAGCAAGATGCTCATCCTTGGTGAACAAATAAATAACAAAATGAATAATAAAGTTACAAAAAAGCAACAAAATGAATTAATCTGATAAACTTCAATTTATTTACCAACAGAAAATAAAAACTAATCACCACTACTTCTGGGGTGGGAGTTCTCATCACATAAAAACACGAGGCTCATTTTTATATTTTCTTGTCTAGATCTTCTCTTCAAAGTAAAAGTTTTAAATAAGCCACATTTTTCAAATCAAAGGAATTTTATAACTGCATCTGAGTATTCTGAAGCAGGAAGTCAAGTCTGAGTGAACTTAGGAAGGCCAGCAGCTTGGCCAAGTCATTTTAAAGGCTGGTTCCCCTTCGTGGACTCTATCTTCAGTTATGTTACATCCTGTGGAACAGGCAGAGGTGTCTTGCACCACCCAGTTGACAGCTGCTCTAATGTCTGCTCTGATACTGGCTACTGAGTTTTATACATGGGTTTGAGTGCTTGACCAGCAAAGAGTCTCAGAATCCTTCTTTGAGAGAAGACTGCAGGATGGAGAGCTCCTTTGCATAGGCCCTTTTCACCTCTTGTAATATCCATGCTCCATTCAGCAATGGGCCCGTGCCAGGCACGGGGTGGAGTACTGGGATACGACAGTGAACAGACAGATGCTCCATCCGTTCTATTGGAGCTGCAGGTGCTGAGTGGTCCCCATCCATTAGCCTTATACTACTCCATCACAGTTACTCCTCTTTTATAGATGATAAAACATTTACTGAGATGTTCTACTCAGGCCATGGGTGAAAAGCCTGTCTCAAACACAGGTCTCTGACTCCTCAGCAAGGGATCTTTCAACTACGTTCATCTCATTGGTGAACTTACATCCCCTCCACGACAACTTCAGTCTTCTTGGATTAGCAAGAGCCCTTTCCGATGCCTGGGTACAAACTGGCTGCGGAGTTTGTGAGCAGTGAACTAACCTGACCTCTAGATAGCTGTACTTGCCCTGGTTTAAGTGACTGCCTAGCTTCTGGTCCTTGATCCTGGTGCCATCCCTGCTCTCTTCCACACCAAACTCTCCTCCACTCCAGACTCTATCACCCACCCGCCATTGCAACCACAATGGCTGGCTACCATCTTCCCCAATGTTCCAGCTCCTCTCCATTGACTTTGCTGGGCACAAAGCCTCATAATTAAACGTATTTCCCAATTGAAGATATTCCCCAGCCTTACATGTGTCCGGAGAACTAAGATCTGACCACTGGGACAAAGAATTACTGACTTAAGGTCTTCCCCTAGAGTGACAGGACCCCTCCCACCCTGGTTCTTTCCACGGGAGAAGGGAAAATGAGGTTTGTACCTTCAGCCACCAAGTGGAAGCCACCTATTGATGACACCAGGCCTAGACACTCTTCACTCTGAACTGGCACATAAGAAGTCACCCTCCACCTGGGCTCAGCTATTGTGGGAGTGTAGAATCTGTGGGTCTCCTTAACAGAGGAACCAGCCCAAGTAGCTTGAATGACACCAGTTCTATACATCCCCGGTAAAGTCCCTTAATGGCCATTAAACACTTCAAAGGGGTGTCCAAACCCATGTATGAAAATGTTCTTTCTGTGTCATCTCGTGGAAAACTTTTGAATAAAGCACATTACCAGGACCTCAAAGGCAAGTTCTGCTCTGATCAGAGGAAAACTGAGAGAACCCAAAAAAAGAAATCAGCTTTTCCATTTCCAGCAAAGGCACTGCAAGCTGAACCGAGGGCCAAGGCTAACGTCTCCATGGAAACTTATCACAGGAGCTTGTATTCCTGACCAAGAACTCAATGGTCAACTTCTTTAAAAAATGATATAAACATCATGTTTTGTCATCTATAAAAGCCATGGGAATTTTTTTTAAGATAGGAGGGCTTCTGGCCCAGGAATCTACTGTAAAGGACATATGCATACTATCTATCCTCTCAGGGAGGTACGTATTGGCTGAATCCAAGACAAGAAGCATTCATGTGATCTTTTATTTACTGATTCAGTAACAGTATAGCACACAGCATATCAAGTTAATCATGCCCGCAGGTCCTACAGGCTTCTAAATACAGTCTACAGAACACTTAAGGGGAAGGGGAAACCTGAGTAAGCCTGGGTAGAATGGAAGCTAAAGTCAGAAATGCTGCTTGGAAGCCTGGGTCTGCCACTGCCCAGCTGTGGGGCCCTGGACAGTGACTCACACTCTCCAGAATAACCCCTCAGTCTACACATGCAGACTCTTAACACCTGTCTCCCTCCCGGGGTCATCACAGAGACCAAAGGAGCCATGGCCTATAAAAACTGTTTAGCAAATCGGGTGGGAATGTTAGATGGCATTGTTGGAAAAGGGGTTTTTATTGTTTGTTTGTTTTTTGGTTTTGGTTTTTTGAAACAGGGTTTCTCTGTGTAGCTTTGCGCCTGTCCTACAACTCACTCTGTAAACCAGGCTGGCCTCGAACTCACAGAGATCCGCCTGCCTCTGCCTCCCAAGTGCTGGGATTAAAGGCGTGCGCCATCACTGCCTGCCCTGGAAAAGGCTTTTAAGAGAAGATTCTGATGACCACCATCCCGAAACCCTAGCAGACTAGACATTGCCCGGCCACTCTGAGAGACCTAGAGAAATCTCTTGTCCAGTTGCTGCTTGTGGACTAGCTGGCAGAGCTGGCAAGAGGCAGTCCCTCTGCTGTGTTCCTCACTGGCATCCATTTGCTCACCAGCCACCGAGCAGCCGCCAGGACATCAGTCATGGGCTGTGAAGAAAAGAGAGCTGCAGTGAGCTGGGACCACTGCATGGTGATACGTCTAGCAAGCAAAGAAAGGGTTCCTGGGCCCCACTGTGCTGTGAGAAGCCCCCAGACTGAGATAGGAAGCATTCTGCAGTTCAAGAAATAAAAAAGATTGCAGCTGTTTAAAAAAAAAAAAAACTGACTCTGGAGTGAGACTGGGGTTTAAAACCCAGTTTTCCCATTCAGCACACATCATCTGAGGCACCCCTGAGTGTCAGACTCTGTGCCCACTCCATAGGACTGTCATAAAGAGTAAGGTGTAGACTAGTCAGCACTTAGCACGATGCTTAGCATACGTCAACAGCCAAGGGTTAGGCACCACTATTAATACCTACAAATACATATATTATGCTGATGGAGTCGAGAGCTGGCAGATCGCCAAGGAAGGTTCTGCTGCGCCGTGGCAGCTACAGGCTTTGCAACTGGATATTACCTGGACAGTGTGCTGGCTCATTTATTAATCGCAGGCTAATGGAGGTTCTTCTGGATCTCTGCCTAATGCCTGAGGACAGGCAAACCATCCAAGAATGCCTGGCCGGCCAGTTGTTTTTCTGGTTTGGAGCTGCCCATCACTATGCTGAGAGACATTCCCAGAGAAGACATTCGAGTGACTATCTGTATCTACCTTTTCCACCCAGGTCTGGGTATTTGGCTCTCCATCTCTGGGTACGAAATGAGTAACTATCTTTAAAGCATGGCCCCAGGACTGGAGATGTAGGTCAGTTGGCAGAATGCTTGCTCAGCATGCACAAAATCCTTGGTTCAATCCCCAGCACTGCACAAACAGGGTGGTGGCACATGCCTGCAATCTCAGCTTTCAGGAGCTGGAATCAGGAGGATCAGGAGTTCAAGGTCATCCTCAGCTACACAGAAAATTGGAAGCCATCTTGGGCACACGAGACCCTGTCTCGAAACAAAAAACAAAACAACAACAAAAATGTTTCTAGCCAACCAAGTAGTATGAGTCAGCACCCAAGTAGTGGACAGCGCCACATCCTCCAGCCAGCCCTGGAGGTAGCCCCGCTTTGCAGTAACACCTGTAAAGGCCAGCACGCTCTCACTGGTGATAGCTTCAAAGCCTGCATTCTTCCATTATCTCTCTCAAGCATCAGACCCACCCACGATGCGAAGGGTTGGATAAGAATTATTTTATCAGCTCAACAGACAAGCAGGCTCAGTCTGAGGCATCCGTGATCTGCTTAAGGGATGGTGGTTAAGTAGTGGAAGCAGCCTAGAATGCAGGTTAGCCCATCCCTACTCCAGTGCTCCCTACAGACAAAACGTATTTGTCTTTGAACGTTTGTCTTCCAACATGATGCTTTGCCTCTGAAGAACTCAGGACTGAGGAATCTGGTCACAGTACAGTGCAGATTCACACACTTAAAAGGCACTTACACTGGCAGATGTTGGCATGCTCCAGAACTCTAAAGATAAACTGACAACACAACTGTCAATTAACTTGGACTTCTGGCTTCGTGTCCCTCTCCATCTGGCCCTCTGCTGCATTTA